AAGACCCTTTTGGCAACATTTGTTGGCAAATGTTGCCTTTTTAGTGTTGCAAATGACTATTTTGTTGTAGTGTATAAATAGAATATAAAAATTCATTTAGCGATAAGTTCGATATAAATATATTTTATTTAAATAATCAATCTGAATTAGCAATGAGATGTCTAAAGAAATGAAAGCATGAGTCATAAATAGTGTTAAAACATTATTTATTAGCGATAATCCAAATTAAACATAGTCAATTTCAACGATAAATATGAATTAGCAACGAAGCTTGCGACGAAGTCAAAATACGTGTGTTCAATAGGGTATACAAACATTATTTAGCAATAAGTCTGAATTAAATATGGTCAACTTTAGAAATAAATCCGATAAAAAAATTTATGTTAGTTAATACAAGAGTGTCTGAAGCTTAGTGGTTAAAGGACGTGCATGTTGTGGCAGTTGCTTACCCTGTTACAAATACGCCATGTTCATCGCATGTGCCAAAAGTTTACTTTAGGTCCGTGCCCTTGTCCTGGTCTCGACTCTCCCTGGCTATATACTTTCAATCTAGCTGGTATAAGAGCAAGATTTGCGCTCCCAAGGCCGGAAGAGAAAAGTATCGTTGCGTATGTTGTTTCGATAACTGACAATAAAACTCTTGTAGGTGTAACGATAAAGCCAATGGTACTACCACCAATAGGTGACAGTTCAGACAGAGAAACAGGGTTCTGCATGTAAAATTGTGAACCTATTATTGAAGAAGCAACCACACCGGAACCACCAGTAGAATTAACAGAAAGTGATATGACGGAGACGGATGCATTGTGTGAGGATCCCGGCGAAATCCCTACAATCAAACTCAATGTAGAACAATGCTACAAATTTGCAGAGCTTTATGCAAGAGCAAAATATTGATATGCAAGAAAGTAATTTGTCAAGAGCGTGAGTCGACTTCTTGCTATATGGACTCAGGGTAAGCACTAAAAGATTTACAGGGTATTAGATCGCTCTTAATACAGACAAAATGCCTCACATACGAAACAGAAAAGGCATCCTCACACTTAACCCAATTGGGTATCATTTAACAGGAGAGATGGCAGATTCAATCAAGCACCGAAATACTACTGGATTTTTCTAGGCTTGACAACTGAAGGTATCCAATACTGCATCTGGAAAGGTATGAACTGATTGCTGAATTCAAATATTTACATTCTCTATTGCTGGAACAGCATTCAGCCCCTTTATACTCCAATTATGAGATAAGTTACACTAAGTTTCACTATGAACGAAGATAAGTAACTTAAATTTCATTATATGCCAATTATGAGATAAGGAACTCAACAATTAGCTCGTTTAACTTGTACAATTAATGTACAATTAAAATTCTTTATCTAACGAAGTCTAATAACGGGTCGTAAATATAGAATAAAATCATCATTTATTGATAAATCCAACATAGTTGAAATCAACTAGCAATTTAAATTAGCAATGAACTCTCTAATGAAGTCAAAGCACAAGTTATAAATAGAATATAAAAATTTATTTAGCGATAAGTTCGAAATAAATATAGTCAATTTTAATAATCAATCTAAATTAGCAATGAGATCTCTAGTGAAGTGAAGCACAAGTCATAAATAGAGTGTAAAAGGATTATTTATTAGCAATAAATCTAAATTTAATATAGTCAATTTCAACGATAAATCTGATTTACGAAGTCAAAATACAAGTCATCAATAAGGTATATAAACATTATTTGATATGATAATGCTGAATTCAACATGGTCAACTTTAGAAATAAATCTGAATAAAAATTTTATGTTAGTTGATACATAAGTGTCTAAAGCCTAGTGGTGAAAGGTGCATGTTGTGGCTGTTGGTTACCTGTTACAAATACGCCACATGCATCGCACGTGCCAAAAGTTTGGTATAAGAGCAAGATTTGCCCTCCCAAGGCCTCATTGCATAAGTTGTTCCGATAACTGCCAATAAAACCTTGGTGTAACGATGAAGCCAATGGCACTGCCACCAGTAGGTGACGGTTCAGACAGAGAAAAAGTGTTCAACGTGCAAAACTGTGAACCTATTATTGAAGAACCAACGACACCAGAACCACCTGTAGAAGTGAGAGAAAGTGATATGAAGGATGCATTCTATGAATATCCCAGCAAAATCCCTGCAATCAAACTCAATGTAGAACAATGCTAACAAATTTGCAGAGCTTTATGCATGAGCAAAACATTGATATGCAAGAAAGTAATTTGTCAAAAGCCCTTGTTGCTTTGCATCCAGAATTTGCTTTAGTCCTAAAGCCCAAACTGACAAGTGCGAGTCGACCTCTTGCTATATAAACACAGGGTAAGCTCTAAAAGATTTACAGGGTGTTGGATTGCTCTTAATACAGACAATATGCCCCACACACGAGACAGAAAAGGCATCCTCACACTTATCCCAATTGGGCATCATTTAACAGGAGAGACGGCAGATTCAATCAAACACCGAAATACTACTGAATTTTGCTAGGCTTGACAATTGAAGGTATCCGATACTGCTTCTGGAAAGGTATGAACTAATTGCTGAATTCAAATAAACTCGAACATAGTATTTGCATTCTCCATTATTGGAACATCATTCAGCCCCTCTGTACATTTTATTCAAGAAGAGAGAGGTTTTCTCTCTTTTCTTGCTGATGTCATTTGACGTCACATCATTGGATTTGTTCGCATCCGAGGATTTGAGAAGAAAACACAAGCACCGAGACCTTTGGTGGCAGATTGCAAATAGAACAGTAGATATGGTTATTCTTTTATATTTTATCTGGTATATTTCTTCAAGTTTATGTATTCATGTGTGAATGGTATCATAATATCTTGAAAATAATGTTCCTGTGCTTAAATTTGTGGCTAATTCATGATTTTATAGACTATTTGCCAAAGTTGTAATGAACAATAATTTGTTGTCCAAAACACGTGCTTGTGCGCGCACATTGCAGAACGTTAATAAGAAAAAGTAAAGAACTGTGTACAAGTGAAAATTCAAAATTTGAAGAAAAACAGAAGGAAAAATATTTATATTTGATTTTAAGATTAAAATTAGGTTCCACTAGTTTGATCAGAATATGCACATTTTAGATGTTTAATGACTTGAACAAACTAAAGTCTTGTCATGTGGAGAATAAGGAATACATACAAAATAAGAATAGAAAACACATGCAAGCTGTCCAAAAAGTTGTAAAAATCAAATTGAAATTTAAAGGAAAAAGTTGTCAATTTAAAAGTTCATGTAAGACATTATTATCAAAAGAAATATATTTGTCATACAATAAATGAATTAAAGATCACGAAATTTCTGGTTAAGCTTCAACTTATTTTTATCAATAAAAACCCATATGTTGTAATTATAAAAAGAAAATTGGTTGGTGCAAGAGGAAAAACTCAATGGGATGGTCCTTCCCGGTTTCTGGATGGACATTGGACAACCAAAGGATCACTTCAGTGGCCCGAGACTTTACTAGGACTCCTTGAGAAAAAAAGCTCCTCCGAAATTGGCCTCTGTATCTCATATTATTGGAAATGTCCTGGTGGATGAGAGTGTCAAAATTGAGGAGGGTTGCTTGATTGGATCAGATGTTGCAATTGTCCTTGGTTGTGTGGTCGAATCGGGAGTTAGGCTCTCTCGCTTCAACGTAATGCGGTGTACGCATCAAGAACCATGCGTGCATTTCAAGTAGTATAGTTGGCTGGCACTCGACTGTTGGGCAATGGGCTTGCGTAGAGAACATGACCATTCTTGGAGAAGACATTCATGTTAGGGACTAGATTTACTGCAACGGAGGAGTGGTTTTACCTCATAAAATAAAAAACCAAGGAGACGAGTAGAAATATATTTTTTAGAGAAACAAACACTAATTTGGACATTTTCCGCTGTGGAACTGCTGATACACAAAGAAATATATATCAGTTTCCCTACAAAACTCCAATGATTCTTTTACATGTTTGGAGCTAAAAACTACTCAAGTGCCATCACACGGTATAATATTGGGAAAGCTCTGCATAAAGTAATATGAAGAAGCTATCTCCTCCAAGCTGGTTGAAAGCACGAAGAATGCATGAACTTGTCCCAAAAATTTTAAAGTATCAATCTGAATTTAAGGGAAATGGTTTTTGAGATTCTTAACGACAAATTTTGTGTACAATGAAAAATTATATATAGTAATTATAAGAAGAAAGTGAATTTTCGTGCAACACGCGTGTACACATACAAAATTTAAATGATACACATTTGACCTATCTAACATTTTTAACTTTTTGAGTAAGTAGTTTAATATAGTGCCAGAGTCCATTAGGATCCAATGGGCAGTTTGATCCGACTATGACTCAAAAGAGCACATGAATTTGTCGCGACATGATCGAGAAGAATGTGGACACAAGCAACTAACTCGTTGATATGCAAATGAATACCAAGAAAGGATCAACAACTTGGGAAAACAATTCAATATTTTATTAATTTTTATGAAAAATAACCAAGGATTACAAATGCATAAGCATCTCTTAAATACTAAATAATGACCAAACAATAAATGGTAGGACATTAATTTTAAAATGATAAGTAATGACTATAATTTTAGAGGAGTAGTTTAGCTGCAGTTTCAATAGTATTGTGATTAGTTTACATAGTGTTGTGATTACTTTCCTTAGTGCTATGATTTATGCACGATTCGCTCCAAAAATTTACCCAGCACATACCTAATTGCATAGAGAAATTTCATCCTCGAATCTTAAGTAGACTTGATTACACTTGCAGATTGAGAATTTGATGTGTGTCGCTTCTTATATTAATAACTTTAATTTCTAGTTAGTTCCATGCCGACATTTAACCTCTAAGTCGACCTGTAGACATGAATTATCTTCGTGCTGTAATTATATTAGTTGATTTCTTAATTATAGGAATCTGGTTAGTTGACCAATTTTGTATATATAGGAATATATAGTTTCCTTAGGATAGGATTGTTTTCCTGTTTTTAAGATGTAACTCTACCTATATATTTGCTCCAGAAAGGTAGAAGAAATACACAGAAAAACCAAGTTTATAGACACCATTGTTCAACACGACCCAAACACAAAATTCCCTAATTCATCCTGGAGGTTTCAACATTATGAAAGCCAACAAAGCAGAAACCATGAAAATGGCTTAATTCACTGTCGTGTACTGTCTTAAATCCCTGCAATTTAAGATTCTACACTCTTTGGATACTAAAAAAAAAATCCCAAATCCTTGATGAACAGAATTTTTTGGGGGTACAAGATATTACAATTTTTGAGTCATCAATATTAAGTCCCATTTCTGAAGCAAAGTTGAGATTATCAAATAAACCATATTCGTAAAAAAATCTTGGATATTTTATATTCTTGGCATGGATTTCAAAATTCATCGGCTCAAATACTATGGAATAAAATGAAAATATTAATATGGTATGAGCGCAAGACTTCCCCTCCATAGTCTAGAAGAGAAAAGTATTATTGCATCTACCACCTCGACAACTGCCAATAGAAGCCCTGGTGTAACTAAAAAGCCAACGGCGCTACCACCAGTAGGGGACAATTCAGACAGAAAAACAGGGTTGAGAATGCAAAACTGTGAACTTATTATGATTTATGGAAGAATCAACGACACTACAACCTGGTGTGGAAGTGTCAGAAAGTGATACTGAGAATGCATTATATGAGGATCCTGGAGAAATCCCTACAATCAAACTCAAAGTAGAACAATCAAACTCAAGAGAGAAATTTGTCAAAAGCCCTTGTTGTTTTGCGTCCAGTTGCAATGCCCAAACTGAAAAGCATGGGTCGACTTCATGCTATAGGGACACCGGGTAAGCACTGCATGGTTTACACGGCGTTGGATTGCTCTTAAGTCTTAATACAGACAAAATGCCCACATATGAAACAGAAATGGCATTCCTTACCCCAATTTCGCATCATTTAAACTGGAAAGATAGCAGATTCAATCCAACCACCGAAATACTCCTGGATTTTGCTAGGCTTGACAGCTGAAGGTATCCAATACTGCTTCTGGAAAGGTATGAACTGATTGCTGAATTCAAATTAACTTGAACATTGTATTTGCATTCTTCATTATTGGAACAACATTCAGCCCTTGTTTTATTCAAGAAAGATAAGTTTTCGCTCTTTACTTGCTAATGTTATTCAACATCATATTGTAGGATTTGTCAGCACCCGAGGATTGAACAGAAAACGCTAGAATTTAGACCTCTAGAGACCAGATTGCAACAAATGGTTACTTTCCTATATCTTGAAAATAATATACCTTGCTTAAATTTGCCGCTAATTCATGATTTTATGGACTACAATTTATTGTGCAAACACTTGCCTTTGCACGCACATTGTACAAAATTAATAAGATATATATATATAGTTAAGAATTGTGTAGAAGTAAAAATACAAAATTTGAAGAAAAACATAAGAAAAAAATTTAATATTTGATTTAAAAATTCATATAGTTTCACCTGTTTAAAGGAAAAGGTAGTTATTTTAAAAGTTTCCATAACAATGTTGCATTATCAAAAGAAATATTTTTGTCGTACAATGAAGGATATATAAATCATGAGATTCCTGATTAAGCTTCAACTTATTTTGTATTGATAAAGACTCATATGTTGTAGTTATAAAAAGAAATGTATGAAATAAGTGTGTACTACACATGCACAAGTATCAGCTGTGGCTTTATATTTTTTGAATGCTTGGTCATGAATAGGCTCATTCATGATTTGAGTAGTCTAAAGTCCCTTCTAAATTAAAAACTGAATATTTTGACGATTCAAGTGCTTGATAATAAGATATCCTGAATTACATTCCATCCTTCTTGATTGCACCTAAAGTTCCCATCTGGTCATAAGAATATACCTGCTCTTCAGCACAGAGCAACGTGTTTCATCATTTTTTCTTTTCGTTCTTTTTTTTTTTATTCTTTGTGTCACGGGGGCTCCCTGGATCATCTAAGTTTACCCTGTCTATTTTCAAATCTTTCACTGATGAATTGAAAGTTGAAGTGTCTTTTGTGGTATCAGATGACACGTCCTCTAAGGGAGTGAAGTTGAGGAAGCTTGAGAATGAGATTCTGGATTCTGGGGTCGTAGAGTTTTTATAGCAATCGTTGATAAGTTTTAGCTGCAATTGTTAGAGTAAATTACTTCGTAAATTCACCTGGCATAAAACGATTCTACAGGGATACCAGGTTAGATCAATGTGTAACGTAAGAAGCTACTTGACCAATCAAAACGTGAACGTAAAACAAGGTCTGAATAGTCTTTGCAAGGCCGCAGCTATTAGATTACTTTTTCTCTAATTCTCACCCAGGCAAGGTTGAGCCCCTAAGCTTGCTAGGAGAATTTAGCTTCGTGAAGTCTACAAAGCGAACC